GCCGCTCAGATCCCCGCGCGCTGACAACGCAAGTGGCTGGGCCAAGCCCTCGATTAATTGGCGATGTAGCTAGGGAGACATAGACTGTCTCCGCACGCCGCGCGTCTAGTGGCTTTTTGCGCGCGGGCCCTACGCAGGGACATGCGGCGTGCGGCATGCGACGGCCGAGCGGTGTGCCCTTGATCTACGAGTCCGCCGTGGGGCTTTGGCCACATATCTTGCAAATTGCCTGGCACCAGAGTGTGCTGCACGGCGGACGATCCGGGAGGGCAGCGTGAGAGCGGCTGAGCAGTGGGGGACCGAGGGGAGCGATGGAACACACGAGGGACGACAACACGATGTGGTCATGACTACCGATGCTTGAATGTGCGCAGGGAGTTGGTGGCCGAACATTGAGCGCATGCAAGAGAGAGAGGACCGCGGCTGCATCCTCCCGCCCACTCCTATTGCGGCGACCAGAGCGCGCATCGTCCGCATCATCGCGGCGGGATGACCAGCGGCGGCATGCACAGACCAGATCCCCCGCCGCTAGGATGTGCGACCGACGTAGTTTGACTGCGCAGGCGTCGTGGGGTAAATCGACAGCTGCCGACAATGCGCTCTCGTCGCCGCTCCGGATGTGGGGGCAGTTGTCTAGATGCCAGATTGTCGGCTGCCCGCGTGTCGCGCATGCCGCTCGGCGCTGTTCTTGTCACCGTTGCCATATTCCACCTTTTGCCTTATTTCCCGGCTGATGGTGTCTGACCGGGGACACAGCGCTAGCGCTGGAGCTTCGCGCCGGAGCACCCTGCACGTTGCTCTGGCACCCGACACGATGCACATTCCTCGCCCTCAGAATCCAGTGGAGGTGCAAGCCGTAGCAGCGGCCAGCTCGCTAGAGCGCATGGGGAGCTCGCGAGGGACATGCCGAGATGATGGCAGGCCAGCATGTGTCGCAAAGGGGACGGCGTGTCGGATGCATCCATGGAGAGCCCAGACACCGATCAGGGAGTGCAGGGCAGCGTGAGCGACAGCGGCAGACATGCAAATGGCGCAAATATGAAGATGCGCACGCACGGGTGCGGGGACGCTACGTGCGATGCGGATGTCGCCGTACTTACTGATAAGGGCGCCGGACGATATGCGGGTGTTGCGGCCGGCAGATCTGGAGGGAGCATACGTCGGTGAGTGCATGTGTCTACGTCAGGCAGAATGACCGCTCGTGTCTAGGCCCAGGCACACAGGCAAGGATGCAGGGAGCGTTGCCATCGGGCGAGCAGGAGCGTAGCGACGCGGCAGCAGATGCGACACAAGGGCAGCGCCTGGGTGAGATATCCGGTCGGCAGACGTGGGAACGGAAGCAGGCCGGGGTTGAATGCGAGGTATTGAAGGCGGGGGCTCGTCTTGCGCTATGCCGTCGTCCGCATTGTATCCCGCCCACTGTCTCGCTCGCCATATCGTGCTGTGCGCCTGGACGCTGGTTAGGTAAATTGCTGTCGTGGTTAGGAATGCTGCAAAACACCACTCACCGTGTACACTATTGTAGGTGTACCGCGGGCTGTTCCCCTTTGCAGTGCGCAACAGCTGATCTCGCCGGATGGTCTAGATGACGGTTGGAGCATACCGTGTGTGGGGTGAGTGGTGCGCGCATGCGATGATGGCGAGCTGACGGGACTGTTGGTGTCCAGGAGCGCGAGGGACCATCACCGCAGCGCAGATTGAGCGAGGCGGGCGACTGGCGGTAGCTCGTTGAGATTCAGTAGTCCGCAGTCGCGTGGTAACTGACGGCTGGCCGGTCAGAGCGTCGCATCAGCTGGTGAGCGACTGGCAATGATCGATCTCCACGTAAATGCTTACCGCGACGTGCGATCTGTAGACGTCCGCGCCTCGCCTGATCGCTCGAGTCATCTCGCCATCCGCGCGGCGGTGTGGACTGTCCGCGTCCTCGTCGCCGCTCTGAAGCACTGGCAGCGGGAGGACGCAGTCGCAAATAGGGGCCGTCGTCTAGATGCCGGGGCGTCGGGCGGCGAGCGGGGCGGGGCGTGCGGAACACGGGTGACGCGGGATGACCAATGGCTAGATAGCGGGATGTGCGCATGAGTAGATAGTGACCGGGGCTGACGTATACAACAGGTAGTATGATTGGAGCGCGTGCATCGCGGATTCTCTGATCCGATTGCCGCGCACGACATGTTTTGTAAGGCGACGGCCGGCAGCAGAATCAGTGAGACAGCGCGGGACAGAGGCGGCACGCACGAAGGCGCCATTGGGTGTGCGTCCAGTGTAGTTTGATGGCGGGCACTGTGAGGCCGATTGACGGCTGCCAACGATGTGGACGATTCACGCCCGACGACGACAATTAGAAGTAGGCGGCGTCGAGGGCAGTTGTCTTGATGCCAGGTTGTCGCGTGGTGGGCGTAGCGAGCTGTCAGGGATATGAGCGAGGCGAGACCGTCAATAGAGACTGACCGGGGAATAAGGAGCGATGGGAGGTCGGGCGCATACTTACGTGAAGAGCCAAGACGCCGATCACGCAGGGGCAATCACGCGAATGGTGTGAATACGAAGATGCGCACGCGCACGTACGGGCGCGGACGCGGGTGCGGCATTGATTGTGCGGGGACGCTGTGTGCGACGCAGGCGTCGCCACCGTACTGACCAATAAGAGTACCGATTCCATTCAAGCTAGGTGTCTGCCGCGCAATCGTTGAGACGCGCCCGCTGAGATACCCGCTGGGTGAAGTAGCCAAGAGACGAGTCGGCAGGAGAGCACTTCTGGCAAGGACTGGATCTGCGCGCGCAAGCACCCCGGGTCTTCCGCTGGCTGAGGCGTTGGGCAGGTAGTTGCGTGCGGCCTTATTGCATCAACGTAGCGGCCGCGTGATTGTGAAGGGACCGCCGTTAGATACCCGCCGCGCGATGTGATCGGGAGAGGCCTCGTAACGACACGTTCATGCACGGTCACACGAGAATGGGAAGACGGGGCTCACCTCGGCTGTGTGACAGAGCGCAGCGTGGGCGCAAGAGGATGCCACGGGATGAGCTTGCAGCCGGCGCGGCTGGCATCAGTGCGTCCCCTTTGCATTCCCTGTTCTCCATTCTGCTGATCTGTTCGTGGACGTCGCGCATCCGTCCTAGCCTGTCCGCCCTGCACATCATCCTCGCACTGTCCCTTGCGTCCATGCGCCTGCTACGGTAAGCTCTGCATCGCATCCTCTTTTCAAGCATCCCGCTGACCGCTAACCGCGCATTCCCACACAGCGCACGCCGCGTCTGGCTGCTTGGCATATGTACACACGCTACCACCACAAAGCGCTACATTCCCGTACAGCCAAGGCCCTCTCTGCACACCTCGGTGAGTCATGCTGCGCTCCGACGTCCGTGTGCGATCCACTGACCGCTCGCTGCATCTGACTGTCATGTGCTGTGAGGGTTCGCTGGACGGCGGTGCTGCAGCTCGCGAGCAGGAGTCCCTCAATGCGTCGCCCCGCTGTAGTAGGCCCGGTGAGCACTCTGACCATCCCAGCACGCCCTCGCCCGCTGTACTCACACCAGTCCGCGGCTCGATACGGAGGATGCACCGCCAATCGCGTGCGATGACGCATGTTCGTTGACTGCGGGTGTACGCGCGCAGGCGTTGCGCAGAGTCGACCGCGCGCACCGGTCACCGCGACCGAGCTATGCAGCTCCTACCGGCCTGCTGCGTCCTACCGTGCAGCTCGTTTCTACGCATTTCACCTCGTCTCAGTTCACTCATGTGCGTGATCGCGGAGGAGGCGGGCAGGTGTACTTACGATGTGCCTGTGATCAATCGGCACTGGGGGCTGAGTTGGTCCGCGCGCGGCGTGAGGAGTGTGACAATATGTGTGATTGTGGGGTACGACGCGCCACAGTGTGAGCAGGACGCCGCGCAAGATATCAAAACACAGCGAGGAGGCGAGAGGCGTCAGGGCAGTCGCCCGACGCAATGCACATTCCCCGCCTCAGAACCCAGCGGAGGCGCGAGCCGTCACAGCGGCCAGCTCGCTAAAGCGCGTGGGGAGCCCGTGAGAGACATGCCGAAATGACGTGCATCGCGAGGGAGACAGCGTGTCGGGTGCATCCGTGAAGAGCCAAGACGCCGATCAGGGAGCGAACATAAAGATACGCACGCGTGAGCGTGGGCACAGCATCAGCCGTGCGGGGATGCTGCGTGCGATGCGGACGTCGCCACCATAGCAATAGCGGTGCCGGACGACATGGGCGCGTTGCGGCCGGCAGATCGGGGGGTGCATACGTCGGTGAGTGTGTCCATCCACGACCGCTCGCGTCTAGGCCCAGGTACGCGGGCGGGGATGCGGGGAGAGTTGCCGTCGGGCGAGTGAGTGCGTAGCGACGCGGCGGCAGTTGCGACGCACCTGGATGAGATATCCAGACGGCAGTCGTGGGAACGGAACCAGGTCGGGGGAGCACACGAGGTATCAAAAGCGGGGAGGAGCGGCGTCGTCAGGGACTCCTCTGCTGCTTACGACTCATCTTCTGCTCTGCTGTCGCTCGTATTATGCCCCGCCCGCTGTCTCGCTCGCCCGGCGCGGCCACATACGTGCTGCGCTCCCGGACGCTGGTCAGGTAAGCCGCCGTCATGTCATAGAATGCCACTCACCGTGTACACCGTTGCAGGTATGCTGCAATCCGTTTCCTTCCGCAGTGTGCACTAGCTGATCGTGCCAGACGGTCTGGACGACGGCGGGAGTGCTGGCGAGCTGACCGAGCTGATGGTGTCCAGCGCGAGGGACCGTTGCTGCAGCCGCGCAGATTGAGCAAGGCGGGCGACCGGCGGTAGCTCGTTGAGATTCAGTAGTCCGTGGTCGCGTGGAAACTGACGGCTAGCCGGTCAGAGTGTCGCGTCAACTGGTGAGCGACCGGCAATGATCGATCTCCATGTAAATGCTTACCGCGACGTGCAATCTGTAGACGTCCGCGCCTCGCCTGATCGCTCGAGTCATCTCGCCATCCGCGCGGCGGTGTGGACTGTCCGCGTCCTCGTCGCCGCTCTGAAGCACTGGCAGCGGGAGGACGCAGTCGCAAATAGGGGCCGTCGTCTAGATGCCGGGGCGTCGGGCGGCGAGCGGGGCGGGGCGTGCGGAACACAGGTGACGCGGGATGACCAATGGCTAGATAGCGGAGGTGTATGTGAGTAGATAGTAACCGGGGATAACGTGCGCGAAAGGTGAGTATGATTGGAGCGCGTGCATCGCGGATTCTCTGAACTGATTGCCGCGCACGACATGTCTTGTAAGGTGACGGCCGGCGGCAGAATCAGTGAGATCGCGCGGGACAGAGGCGGCACGCACGAAGGCGCCATTGGGTGTGCGTCCAGCATAGTTTGATGGCAGGCGCTGTGAGGCCGATCGACGGCTGCCGACGATGTGGACGATCTGCGCCCGACGACGACAATTAGATGTAGCTGCCGTCGCGGGCAGTCGTCTTGATGCCAGGTTGTCGCGCGGCAGGCGTAGCGAGCTGTTAGGGATATGAGCGAGGCGAGATTGTCAACAGAGACTGACCGGGGAATAAGGAGTGATCGGAGGTCGGGTGCATACTTACCTGAAGAGCCAAGACGCCGATCACACAGCGCGGGGCGACGCGAAGAACAGGGGCCATCACGCGAATGGTGTGAATATGAAAATGTGCACGCGCACGCATGGGCGCGGGCGCGGGTGCAGCATTGGTTGTGCGGGGACATTGTGTGCGGCGCAGGCGTCGCCACCGTAGCGATAAGGGCGACGGACAATGTGGGGGCGTTGCGGCCGGTGGATCGGAAGGGTGCATACGTCGGGGGGTGTGTCCGTCCGCGTCAAGCAGAATGACCGCTCACGTTCGGGCCTAGGTACGCGGGCGGGAACGCGGGGGCGCTGCCGTCATGATTTTGGGCGAGTAGTAACCATTGAGCGACGCGGCAGCCGATGCGAGATGTCCGGGCGGCAGTCGTGGGAATGGCAACAGGCCGGGAAAGCGTGTGAGGGATTTAAAGGTGGACGTCGTCAGAGAATCCTGTGTGATTTGCGACTCGTCTTCCGCTCTGTTGTCGCTCGTACTGTGCCCCGCCCGCTATCTCGCTCGCCCGGCGTGGCCACGTACGTGCTGCGCGCCCGGACACTGATCAGGTAAGCCGCCGTCGTTTTAGGGAGTGCTGCATCACGCCACTCACTGTGTACGCCACTGCAGCAGTCGACGTCGCCAGATGGTCAAGACGATGGCTGGAGCATACCACGTACCGAGTACGCG